CTGTGTTACAGTTTTGTGCTGGTATACCACCACACTGTGTTACAGTCTTGTGCTGATATTCCACCACACTGTGTTACAGTCTTGTGCTGGTATACCACCACACTGTGTTACAGTCTTGAGCTGGTATACCAACACACTGTGTTACAGTCTTGTGCTGGTATACCACCACACTGTGTTACAGTCTTGTGCTGGTATTCCACCACACTGTGTTACAGTCTTGAGCTGGTATACCACCACACTGTGTTACAGTCTTGTGCTGGTATACCACCACACTGTGTTACAGTCTTGTGCTGGTATACCACCACACTGTGTTACAGTCTTGTGCTGGGTATACCACCACACTGAGTTACAGTCTCTTGCTGGTATACCACCACGCACAATGTAACAGTCTTGTGCTGGTATACCCACCACACTGTGTTACAGTCTGTGTGCTGGTATACCACCACACACTAATGTTACAGTCTTGTGCTGGTATACCACCACACTGTGTTACAGTCTGTGCTGGTATACCACCACACTGTGTTACAGTCTTGTGCTGGTATACCACCACACTGTGTTACAGTCTTGAGCTGGTATACCACTACACTGTGTTACAGTCTTGTCCTGGTATACCACCACACTGTGTTACAGTCTTGTGCTGGTATACCACCACACTGTGTTACAGTCTTGTGCTGGTATACCACCACACTGTGTTACAGTCTTGTGCTGATATACCACCACACTGTGTTACAGTCTTGTGCTGGTATACCACCACTCAGCATAACGCAGTATTGCTTAATAATCACATATGCTGTAAATGTGACTGAGGGTGTGGCGAGGTTATATGTCAAGTTAGTTATGAGAGATGTGAAGGACAGTACACACAGTGTCGACCTCCTCCGTTATCCTTGTGTGAACCAGGATGCAGATTCTCATAGTTTATTTAACTTTGGTACATTAGAATATTCACGAGAGGGAGATGTGAGCACGTGGCTGGCTCATGAGATTCCGGTACTTTATTGATAATTAGATTAACGTCGAAATTTCACTGAATTTTTTATGTAACTTGACTTATTTCTCTACCCAGTTAAAGGAAATATATTAAGTTTGGAATCTTTGAGAAAAAGGAATGAGCGGCGCTGTGTAGCCTCAACGTTACGCCTCCCACGCCACCGACCTCCACATAAGAAAAGACACTTGGGATCGTATTCTCAAAAACTTAACCATTGTTTTTATTCCTTAGTAAGACTTGATATCTAGTTACGTTAGTCTCAGTTCATATCGTTCTATAACATAAATCACCCCTAGTTAAATCTGTTCGCCCATACCATAACAGGAGAACAATAATTTGCGAATTACCGAACTGAAAATCCAGGTGTTGGTGTTATGGGCAAGTAGATTACGCCGGTACTGATATCAACAGCGGAAGTATCTGCGGTGAAGAAACATTAACCACCCCGGTGGAAGTGTTATTATAGCGAGAAGGCCAATTGTTATCAAGGGGGTCCCGCATCACTGATCCACCCATCACCAACTTGGTAGTTTTAGGGAAGGGGAGACAGGTGGTGATGACTGACGTAGCGTGCAGAGAATGAATTGAGTTTGGTTGTATCAACATAATTCTTATATTCGTGACACCTGCCTGTGTATAATGACTGGCCGTAGAGTAATTCTAGGAATTTCTGTACATAGAGACTCACACGTGACATAATGATCGTCTCACCAAGAGAATATTTCCCTCACCACAATTAACGGTTACCATCCGAGACTCTATATATGTAAGCTGGTTTAATGAGGGCGCTTCAATACCACCGTATGGATAAACTTATCTAGATAACAAAAAACTTTGATCGTCCGTAGGGCCGCTTCCTCGAGATAAATTTACGGTGAAGGGAAAGAAAGAATATCTCCAGTCACCCTTAATGTATCTCACTGATCCCTTAAAATTATGTAGTTAATCAATCATGATTTCATGACAAGATGCCACACTCACAGCCAACAGCAGCTTATAAACACCTGCTTCTTTTACCGATCATTCTTTCGTGGGTAGCTGCACTTGATGCACATTAATGTAATATTATAGTCAGGGAAGTAAGCTGATATTGTAGGTATCAAACGAGTCACTACCGCCTTAATGATTGTGATGTGTTAACACCTAGGGAAGCTGTTCATCACGAGGCAGTTAATGTCTCCTCACTATTGCCCTTCCGTGCCATCATAGGATCCCAGGAAATTATTCCTAGTGTGCTTCAGAACCTAACACTTGACACGAGTAGTATATCTTCACAGTTGAAGCCCTAAGCCTTATATTGTCTCAACTGTTCTCTCTCTACTTTGACAAGTAGCTCCTCACTCTACTTTGATGAGCAACACCTCTCTCTACCTGATGAACTCCCCCCAAAGGCATGTCATCACACAAGGTCAGGAAATACATGGTGGGCGTCAGACACCAGTGGTCCTCTGAACACAGCTTTAGTTTTATTTCCAGTCTTTTAGTAGTCGACGAAACACACCATTACCGTTTCTCCATTAATGCTTGGATAACCTAGTCCCATGGTAGTTAGTTTGCCTTGTTATTATTCCAGGTAAATATGAATGTTTTCCACCCTTGTCTCTGAACCTGAAGTTACGTTGCTGACCTTTAAGTCTGGTTTCTGACTCTACCTTGCTCTCTTACCTTTAACAATGCAGCTTACACAAGTCTATCTGTCAATACATCCTAATTTCTGACCTTTTGACCTTATTTCTACCTGAGTATCATTGTTTTTTAACATTAAAAATATTGTTTCTGACTATATTATTTTTTCAACAATGCTCAAAAGTCTCTGACAGCGAAACCTTGCTTGTAACCTTACACTGAATTTTTTATCTGTCTTCACTTTATGTCCTTGTGCCTTCTTTCTGGCCTCATTAATCTAACCTAACCTAACCTAACCTAACCTAACCTAACCTAACCTAACCCTCCCTTCGCCTTACGTCCATATTTTAATATGTCCCTATCGTTTGATACAGTGTCGTTGTTTTTGACCTGGTAGCCTTATGTATGCCTTCCAAATTACTTATCTGACTTTGCACCTTTGAATGAGAGTCTGTAGTCTTGTAGTGTTATTTCTAAGGCTGTAGCTTTGTGTTTGATAGTATAGCTCTGTTCCTAATCATTTAACTTTGCATATTAAAATTTTTACCTTTGTTTCTGGCCACAAGTGTCTTGTTTCAAAACCTGGACCCTTGTGTACCCCTGATCTTGTACCCTGTTACTGATCGTGCACTTTGGTTTAGATCGTGCAGTTTGGTTTAAATGTGCACTTTGGTTTAAATGTGGACTTTGGTTTAGATGTGCACTCTGGTTTAGATTGTACACTTTGGTTTAGATCGTGCATATTGGTTTAGATCGTGCACTTTGGTTTAGATTGTGCACTTTGGTTTAGATGTGCTCTTTGGTTTAAATGTGCACTTTGGTTTAGATCGTGCACTTTGGTTTAGATGTGCACTTTAGTTTAGATGTGCACTTTGGTTTAGTTTGTGCACTTTGGTTTAGATTGTGCACGTTGGTTTAGATTGTGCACTTTGGTTTAGATCGTGCAGTTTGGTTTAAATGTGCACTTTGGTTTAAATGTGGACTTTGGTTTAGATGTGCACTCTGGTTTAGATCGTGCACTTTGGTTTAAATGTGCACTTTGGTTTAGATCGTACACTTTGGTTTAAATGTGCACTCTGGTTTAGATCGTGCACCTTGGTTTAAATGTGCACTCTGTTTTAGAGCGTACATTTTGGTTTAGATCGTGCAGTTTGGTTTAAATGTGCACTTTGGTTTAGATCGTGCACTTTGGTTCAAATGTGCACTCTGGTTTAGATCGTGCACCTTGGTTTAAAGGTGCACTTTGGTTTAAATCGTGCACTTTGGTTTAGATCGTGCAGTTTGGTTTAAATGTGCACTTTGGTTTAGATCGTGCACTTTGGTTTAAATGTGCACTCTGGTTTAGATCGTGCACCTTGGTTTAAATGTGCACTTTGGTTTAGATCGTGCAGTTTGGTTTAAATGTGCACTCTGGTTTAGATCGTGCACCTTGGTTTAAATGTGCACTTTGGTTTAAATCGTGCACTTTGGTTTAGATGTGCACTTTGGTTTAGATCGAGCACCCCTGTTTATTGTACTCAGTGACATAAAGAGACTAAGTATTAACTTTTGCAGGACGACATAAAAATATAATGATCGGTAATGGAACATATTCTTAGTGTACCGTTCGCCAGTTTTTCCTTTAAATATTTACAGGCAACAGTCTCCCCTGCAGTCCTCATGTTATTTTATCATATATGTGGTCGATCTTGTTCACTCTTACCTCATACAGAATTCTTGTCTTACGTTGAAGGATGTAGATCTTAATATCACCTCTATCCTTGGCTGATAAGATCCTTTTATGTGTCATCATCCCCCAGTAACTCCTCTTAACTCCTCTTTACAATGTCTTTATCTCTCTTATGCATCGTTAGTTTGGTCTCCCCCTCCCGTCTTACCGTTTCTCCCTGGTCAGTGTTACAGTAAAGTTTGCCCACCACCATGCTACATTAGTCTAAAGCTAACTGCTCACTGCCAAAGTTTCAGCTTCCTTTCGCGTTAACGTCATCATCCCGTAAATAACCTTCGTAGTCTCTTACCTGGGTCGTTCTATAGAATGATAGTTTGATCACTACGACAGCTCACGCCTTCAGGTTGTCAGTTTCTTCTGCTGGAAGAGTTCCCTGCACCTCAGCAGTAAGAAGAAATGAAAGTAATTCAACTACTGCAGAAAATTAATGCGGGGGAACAAGAGCTAGTGTGTGTGTGTGTGTGTGTGTGTGTGTGTGTGTGTGTGTGTGTGTGCGCGCGCATAATGATGATACTATGATACTAGGGATGTTAGCAGGTTGAGGTTACAATATTCATACAATCACTCACATATAGAATCACATGTTCATTTGTTTGTGCAAAGTTATTCATTAATCAGAGGAAAGTCATTAACTGTTTGTGTTTGTGTTTACAGGTGATGCCAGTACCAAGATGACATGGTGAGGCCGGCATGATGCCTTGGGGAGCGGGCTTGCGGGCGCCTCTGCCCACAGTGCCTCGCGCCCACCACGCCCACACACGCACACGCCCGCGCATCCTCCTCCATATTGTGCTTTTGACCTTACCACTACTGGTCGTGGGGGCCTCAAGCGAGTCCACCCGCCCTAAGTTAGGTTCACTGCAGTTCCTAAGAGCCACCTACAATGTCAGCATATACGAGAACTCTTTGCCCAGGACATATGTGGTGGGGGAGCAGCTTATGGGCGTGGCGTTGGACGACTTACCCCCCTCCGCCCACGTCACCTACGACATAGTGGAGGGCGACCAGGATGGCTTCTTCACTGCTGAGGAGGAGATGGTGGGTGGCGTGGCTGTGTTGAAGATGAGGACGAGGACGGGCCTGCGAGACGTGCTCAACAGAGAGCGACGTGCGCGCTACTTCCTGGTTATCCAGGCCAAAGTGAGAAACTCCGGCCATAGAGGCGCAGCCCTCAAGGCAAGGACCAACGTGACAGTGACAGTGTTGGACACCAATGACAATATACCGTTATTTTACCCGACAGTGTACCAGGTGAGTGTGGGCGAGGACTCCTCTCTCCACACGCCTCTCATCTCCGTCACAGCACACGACGCCGACGCTGGCTACAACGGCCAGGTGTATTATTCACTAGATGATCACAATACCAACTTATTCGCCGTCCACCCGACAACGGGGGTTTTGAGTGTCACGCGGCCGCTGTCTCACGCGTATGGGCGTGTTCATAAAGTTGTAGTTTTGGCTCAGGACAGAGGGCCGCAGCCACGCCACCTCCGGGCTGCATCTGCGGCTCGTGCCACTGTGGAAGTCCAAGTGCATCAGGTCAACCTCCATCCGCCGCGCATCACCGTACAACACTTGCCGCATGTGGTGGAACACTCACATACACACATCTATGCTATCATCACTGTTGACGACCCGGACGAGGGAGAGAGTGGCAGGGTAGATAAAGTAGACATCGTTAGCGGCGACCCCGACCGACTCTTCAGTATTACTCGTGGTTCAAAATCTAAAGAATATAATTTGGCGGTCCTGAAGCTGCTGGATCGCGAGCTGGCTCCTGAGGGCTACAACTTGACACTTCAGGCCGTCGACAGTGGCATTCCTTCGCGCAAGACCCGAGTCAGCGTACACGTAAACATTGCTGACGTGAACGATCATGCACCTGTGTTTGCCCGAGAGCAGTATGAAGAGGCGGTGAGCGAGGAGGCGCCGCCAAACACACCCGTTGTCAAGGTGGCTGCCTCAGACACTGACCAGGGTATCAATGGAAGAGTTCTCTTCAGAATAGTCGCTGGCAACGAGGACGACAAATTCAATATTAACCCCCGGACAGGCCTTATATCCACAGCAGACTGGCTAGATCATGAGATGACTGCTTACTACAGCGTGACTGTCGCCGCCGTAGACCAGGCCAGTAATGCTCGCAGAAAACAGTCATCCGCCAAGGTTATCATCCGTGTACTGGACGCCAACGACAATGCACCAGAATTTAACACCCCGAACACAGAGGTCACGCTGGACGAGAATGAGCCGGTAGGGTCATACGTCACACGGATGGTTGCCTCAGATGTGGACTCTGGGGAGAACGGCTTCATATCCTACAGTATTGCCAACCTTGACCAAGTACCTTTTGTTATTGACCCTTTTGATGGCACAGTTAGTACCTCCTCCGTTTTGGATTACGAAGCCCAGCGACGCGTTTATACTATTAAAGTTCGGGCCTCCGACTGGGGGACACCTTTCAAACGGGAAACAGAAACTACTGTGAAGGTCAAAGTTCGTGATGTCAATGACAACCGGCCACAGTTTGAGGGCATAGAGTGCAAGGGGTGGGTGTCGGTGGACGCACCAGTCGGCACCAATGTTCTCACACTCTCGGCTCTGGACCTTGACAACGCCAGCATAGTGAGCTATAAACTACAGAACGACATGGAAGAGGAATGTTGGGCCATGGACGCATCCTCAGGTGTACTTGCTCTCACTTGTGATCTCAGGAAATCTTTAATAATAAGTGAGAGACAAAAGACCTACGTTCTAAACGTGACGGCTACCGACGGTTCCCACATATCAGACCCAACAAGTGTGACAGTGGCGGTCATTACCCAGCTGAACGAGGACCAGACCAGCGTAAGGCAGCACTATCATGTGGAGTGTCATGAGACGGGCATCGGCACTAAGGCCGCGGAGGTGGAAGCTGCAGCCGCTGAGAACAACGCCGCGGCAGAACACTACGCCCTCTTGCCCCTCCGCTACGGCTACAATTCCCACGCTCCGGATCTCCCAAGAAAACTCCCCAGCGTTATAAGGGTTCGCGAGGACGCCGAGATTGGCACTAAGATTCTGACTGTGGAAGCTCATGACCACGACAGAGGTCATAATGGGAGGGTAGTGTACGCTGTGTCCGACGGGGACACCGACTCTGTTTTCAAGATCGGGGTGGAGTCTGGAGTACTGGAGGTGGTGGCAGAACTGGACAGAGAGCGAACTCCAGAATTTTCTCTCAACATTACTGTGTATGACCTTGGAGTTCCTCATAAGAGCGTGTCAAGAAATCTAACAGTTCTTATTGTTGATGTAAATGATAATGCTCCGGAGTTCAGCCGCGTGAGTTACAGTCTTCATTTGCCTGAAAACACTCGTAACGGTACCAGCGTGGCACAACTGAGCGCCCAAGATGCTGATGAAGGTCTCAACGCTCAAATAACCTACGAACTTGTGACAGATGTAGAAGAATTTACAGTTGACCGAGCAACAGGTGTGGTGTACATGTCTGGCGGGCTGGACCGTGAGCGCCGCAGTGAGTATGACCTGCGGGTGAGGGCTTGGGACAGTGCCTTAGAGAACCAGCGCTCAGCCCTTGCTCGAGTGTTAGTGACAGTACTCGACATCAATGACTGTCCACCTGAGTTTGGTGCAGCTAGCAAACTGACAGTTGATGTTCCGGAAGACTTACCCTTGGGTGCTGTGGTCGCCACCCTTCTGGCAACTGATCAAGATCTTGGTGTAGGTGGTCAACTCAAGTACAGTCTCGTCAGTGGTCACGAAGACTCGTTCCGCATGGATGAAGAGACGGGGGTGGTGCGTCTAGCAAGATCTCTAGATTATGAAACACGACAGTCATACAATGTGACAATACGTGCACAAGACGGAGGTTTCCCGCCTCTAGAAGCTTATGCTTCTCTCTTCATACGTATTCACGACGTAGACGAAACCTGGGTCCTCCAGTGTTTCCCCAACGAGTGGTGCTGGGGTGGGTGCATGAGAACTTGGCCCCGGGCTCCCTGGTCACCACCCTCACTGCGAGGGACCCAGACGGAGGCCGTCTCCTATACCATCACTGCTGGGGATGGTTTGGGCTACTTCACCATCGACAGAGAAGGTAAGTTGGCATGTTTTTTTGTGGTTGTTATTGTTGTTGGTTTCAGGAAATTAGGTGTCACTATGGCCAGAATGAAGGGGAAATATATAAGACACTAATACAGTGTTCACATCCAAGACCAGTAGTTAAGTGCTCACGTCTAATATGAATAATTATCTGTAGACACCTCAGCCAATAGTTAAATGCTCATGCCTGAAACAATAATTATAATGTTCATACCTGATGCCATTACATGCTAATGTTCACACCTGAGATCTGTGTTTGGGGCAGACCTGACCCGTGCCACTGCCCTTTCCTAAGATTAACACCTGCCACAGTCCACACCTGTGACCAACATGCAGCATTACCTACATTTGCTAACACGACCTGTAACAGTGCACACCAGAGTCCAAACACCAGTAAGAATTATAATGTTTTGTGTGTCTGGAATGAACGCGAGTACACACATTGCGTCACTTATTATCTGAGTAGCGCGTCTCGCAGGATCACCACCTACCACTGTTAAGTCCTGGCTGGTATTAGCCCTGGTGATACCTGGTCCATGACTACAACTTAAAAACAAAAACAAAAATTCCAATGTGTTGAATATAATTGTATGCCTCTTTATTTATCGAGATTTCGTAGATAAAATATTATGTGAACTTAAGACTCGTCAAGATTCACAATAGTAAAATAAACTTATCTCTATATTGAGTCATTGAGCTGCCCAAACAACATTCATTCACCTTGTTTATGGAGGACAGACAGGGAAGGGATGAAGACCGAAGGGTGTTTAGAATAAGATGTTTGCTGTGAGATTTTAATAATTAAAGATGAAGCTAAGAAGAAAGCGGATGATAGTTCTGTACTGTAGTTTGTTCCAGACTTTTATTGAGTGAGGAACAAAATTGATGCTTGTCTTTGTGTCCTAATTGACTTCACGTGCAGAGATTACATGAGTGTCGAGGTAGACTAATATGTGGAGGAAATGCTGATGGGTTTTAGAATAGTAACCGAGGGTGTAAACGGCAAAGAAGAGAGGCAACAATTGGGTGAGTTAGGTTGTGAGGGCTATAAGTGAGTGAACTGTTTTTAATAGATATAATAACTTTGGCCTGGATTCAGTCTAGGATACTTGAATTAGAAGATGGTAAACCAACTGTGATATGAGAGTAATAATTATTTTCCGGTTGTGTTGTGAGTCAAGCATATTGGTGAATGGAATTTTGTCGAGTTGACTATCAGACAAAAGAAAAGGCGGTGGTGTTATTCTCGCAGAAAACTGGGAGAGATTGATGGAAGTAAACAAAACTATCGGAACCTCAAGCTTAGATGGAGTTCAGGTGAAGGTTTAATGAACAGAAAATAGTATGACCGTCTACTACAGGCAACTGGGTGATGATAGGAGTGTAGAGTGGAGGTATCGTTGAGGGAGGGACGGGGTTTATTATGGACGAAATGAGACTCAGTACTGACAAGTGATCGTAAAAGTGTGTTAGTGCGTTCGACAGATTAAGTAGAGTGGTCAATGTAGAGTGCAAGCAGGTCTCATGTGGTGAGGCCCTAGTAAGGGACACATAAGTGTGGTGGGACCCTCGTAGGTTACACATAACTGTGGTGGGGCCTTAGTAGGTGACACAAAACTGTGGTGGGACCCTAGTGGGTGACACATAGCTGGGGGTGGGGCCCTAGTAGGTTACACATAACTGTGGTGGGGCCTTAGTGGGTGACACATAGCTGTGGTGGGAGCCTAGTAGGTGACCATAACTGTGGTGGGGCCTAGTAGGTGACACATAGCTGTGGTGGGACCCTCGTGGGTACACATAACTGTGGTGGGGCCTTAGTAGGTGACACAAAACTGTGGTGGGACCTAGTAGGTGACACATAGCTGTGGTGGGGCCTAGTAGGTGACACATAACTGTGGTGGGCCTAGAGGTGACACAAAACTGTGGTGGGGTCTCGTAGTGACAAACTGTGGTGGGACCCTCGTAGGTGACACATAACTGTGGTCGGGCCTAGTGGTGACACATAACTGTGGTGGGGCCCAATGGGTGACACATAACTGTGGTGGGGCCTTAGTAGGTGACACATAACTGTGGTGGGGCCCTAGTAGGTGACACATAACTTTGGTGGGGCCGTAGTAGGTGACACATAACTGTGGTGGGGTTCTCGTAGGTGACACATAACTGTGGGTGGGACCCTGTAGGTGACACATAACTGTGGTGGGACCTAGTGGGTGACACATAACTGTGGTGGGGCCTTAATGGTGACCCATAGCTGGTGGGACCCTCATGGAGTTACACATAACTGTGGTGGGGCCGTAGTAGGTGACACAAAACTGTGGTGGGACCCTAGTAGGTGACACATAGCTGTGGTGGGGCCTAGTAGGTGACACATAACTGTGGTGGGGCCTAGTAGGTGACACAAAACTGTGGTGGGGTTCTCATGGTGACACATAACTGTGGTGGGACCCTCGTAGGTGACATAACTGTGGTCGGGCCTAGTAGGTGACACATAACTGTGGTCGGGCCCAGTAGGTGACACATAACTGTGGTGGGGCCCTAGTAGGTGACACATAACTGTGGTGGGGCCTAGTAGGTGACATAACTGGTGGGGCCCATGCTAGGTGACACATAACTGTGGTGGGGCCCTCGTAGGTGACACACATAACTGTGGTGGGACCCTAGTAGGTGACCACATAACTGTGGTGGGGCCCTAGTAGGTGACACATACACTGTGGTGGGACCCTAGTAGGTGACACATAACTGTGGTGGGGCCTAGTAGGTGACACATAACTGGTGGGGCCGTAGCAGGTGACACAAAACTGTGGTGGGGACCTCGTAGTTGACACATAACTGTGGTGGGACCCTAGTAGGTGACACATAACTGTGAGTGGGGCCTAGTAGGTGACACACCTAACTTTGGTGGGGCCCTAGTAGGTGACACAAAACTGTGTGGGGCTGTAGTGACACATAACTGTGGTGGGACCCTCGTGGTGACACATAACTGTGGTGGGACCCTCATGGTGAACATAACTGTGGTGGGGCCCTAGTAGGTGACACAAAACTGTGGTGGGGTTCTCGTAGTTGACACATAACTGTGGTGGGACCCTCATGGGTGACACACAACTGTGGTGGGACCCTAGTAGGTGACACATAACTGTGGTGGGGCCCTAGTGGGTGACACATACTTGTGGTCGGGCCCAGTAGGTGACACATAACTGTGGTGGGGCCTTAGTAGGTGACACATAACTGTGGTGGGCCCTAGTAGGTGACACACATAACTGTGGTGAGGACCCTAGTAGGTGACACATAACTGTGGTGGGACCTAGTAGGTGACACATAACTGTGGTGGGGCCCTAGTAGGTGACACATAACTGTGGTGGGACCTAGTAGGTGACACACTGTGGTGGGGCCGTGCTAGGTGACACAAAACTGTGGTGGGTTCATGGTTGACACATAACTGTGGTGGACTAGTAGGTGACACAACATGTGGGGCCCTAGTAGGTGACACACATAACTGTGGTGGGACCTAGTAGGTGACACATAACTGTGGTGGGGCCTAGTAGGTGACACATAACTGTGGTGGGACCTAGTAGGTGACACATAACTGTGGTGGGGCCTAGTAGGTGACACAATAACTGTGGTGGGGCCCTAGTAGGTGACACATAACTGTGGTGGGACCCTAGTAGGTGACACATAACTGTGGTGGGACCCTAGTAGGTGACACATAACTGTGGTGGGACCCTAGTAGGTGACACCATAACTGTGGTGGGGCCCTAGTAGTTGACACATAACTGTGGTGGGACCCTAGTAGGTGACACACTGTGGTGGGCCCAGTAGGTGACACATAACTGTGGTGGGCCTTAGTAGTTGACACAAACTGTGGTGGGACCTAGTAGGTGACACATAACTATGGTGGGGCCCTAGTAGGTGACACATAACTGTGGTCGGGCCCAATGGTGACACATAACTGTGGTGGGGCCTTAGTAGGTGACACATAACTGTGGTGGGGCCCCTAGTGGGTGACACATAACTTTGTGGGGCCTAGTAGGTGACAACTGTGGTGGGGCCAGCAGTGACAAAACTGTGGTGGGGCTCGTAGTGACACAAACTGTGGTGGGACCCTATAGGTGACACAATAACAATGGTGGGGCCCTAGTAGGTGACACATAACTTTGTGGTGGGACCGTAGCAGGTGACACAAAACTGTGGTGGGGCCCTCGTAGGTGACACATAACGTGGTGGGACCCTAGTAGGTGACACATAACTGTGGTGGGGCCCTAGTAGGTGACACATAACTGTGGTGGGGCCCTAGTAGGTGACACATAACTGTGGTGGGACCCTAGTAGGTGACACATAACTGGTGGGACCTAGTAGGTGACACATACTGTGGTGTGGGACCCTAGTAGGTGACACACAACTGTGGTGGGACCCTAGTAGGTGACACATAACTGTTGGGACCCTAGTAGGTGACACATAACTGTGGTGGGACCCTAGTAGGACACATAACTGTGGTGGACCCTAGTAGGTGACACATAACTTGGTGGGGCCGTAGCAGGTGACACACAACTGTGGTGGGGCTCGTAGGTGACACATAACTGTGGTGGGACCCTAGTAGGTGACACATAACTGTAGGGACCCTAGTAGGTGACACATAACTGTGGTGGGACCCTAGTAGGTGACACATAACTGTGGTGGGACCCTAGTAGGTGACACATAACTGGGGACCCCAGTGGTGACACATAACTTTGGTGGGGCCGTAGCAGGTGACACATAACTGTGGTGGGGACCCTAGTAGGTGACACATAACTGTGGTGGGGCCCTAGTAGGTGACACACATAACTTGTGGGGCTGTAGCAGGTGACAAAACTGTGGTGGTCTCGTGCTGACACATAACTGTGGGGACCCTAGTAGGTGACACATAACTGTGGTGGGACCCTAGTAGGTGACATAACTGTGGTGGGGCCGTAGCAGGTGACACAAAACTGTGGTGGGGTCCTCGTAGGTGACACATAACTGTGGTGGACCCTAGTAGGTGACACATAACTGTGGTGGGCCCTAGTAGGTGACACAATCTTTGGTGGGGCCGTAGCAGGTGACACAAACTGTGGTGGTCTAGAGCTGAACATAACTGTGGGACCCTAGTAGTGACACATAACTGTGGTGGGACCCTAGTAGGTGACACATAACTTTGGTGGGCCGTAGCAGGTGACACACAACTGTGGTGGGGCCTAGTAGGTGACACATAACTGTGGGGACCCCAGTAGTGACACATAACTTGGTGGGGCCCTAGGGTGACACATAACTGTGGTGGGACC